AAAACCGGGGGGGGTGGGAGGGGGGGACAGTGGACAGTCTCACACAAAACAGCGATCAGTTTCGGTTCCTGGAGGATGTCTGCGACCACAGTCGATCAGGTTCGTGTATTGACAGCTGCAGTGTGCGATAGATGATCCGTGCGGCGGCGTGAAACTTTGCCGACAACAGTTTTGATCCGGTTCGACGTGAGCCAGATCCCCCAAAAAAAGAAAGAAAAAAAATATTACACAAAATGTATGTATGTAATGTAGGCCGAGTGTGTTTTGCCACAACAACTCTAGCTGTAGCCGGTTTGCCAATGCGGCACCGTTTACTGGATGTGAGAGCGTTTGACATCCGGTCAATAACACGAAGCAACCTGTAAATGTTAACATCCGGGCTGATGGGGTTTTTTTTTTGTTTTGGCTTGGAGTTGAATCGTTATATTTCATGTGTTATAGAGGATACATCCTGCTCTCTCTGTGCGTGTGTGTGTGTGTGTTGTTTCACGTCGTGATCTAACAGTCTCACCTCTTTTTTTTTTGTTCCCCCTTCCTGTGCTACTCAATTATTTCAGAGACCTAAAGGACAAGGGAATAAAGGTAAGGATTTAAACTAGTGATGGTGCGTTGGGGGTTTTTAAAAATGTATTTCTGTGTGGCAGGGAGCTAACATGCTATCAGGATACTGCCTGAACTGCAGCTTATTTATGTTACCATTGCTGATTGTCCCTAATTCTGCATTTGTTTTGAGATCTTGCCATATTTTGAGTATTGACCAATACATACCATCATCTTTAAATTCATTATTTTACAAATCAAATACAGTACATATGGTGATTATAATGTCCTCTCTTTCAATCCTTAGTGCAAAACGGATCAATGCATCAAAAGGATGGTGTGAATGATGATGATTTTGAGCCTTACCTAAGCGGCCAGACAAATCAGGTAACGTCCTGCGATAAACCAGTAATATGGTCAATATATCACCAAGAGCCTGTGGCCAGTATTTAGCCTGTAACATGGTATGGATAAATTAGTTGCGTAATTAAGGCGTCAGCCACGAAACACATAAATACACTCCAGTTTGTTTCTAAAGATTAAACTCTGAATAACTCTGAATATGATACCTATCATGTTAAATTATAACATTAAGTACATTAACTGACTGTCTCTCTATGTCTCACAGAATAACAGCTATCCACCAATGTCTGACCCCTACATGCCTAGCTACTATGCTCCATCCATTGGTTTCCCTTACTCTCTGGGAGAGGCGGCTTGGTCCACAGCAGGAGACCCTCCTATGCCCTACCTAACTACCTATGGACAGATGAGCAATGGCGAGCCGCACTTCATCCCCGACGGTGTGTTCAGCCAGCCAGGTGCCCTGGGGAACACCCCTCCCTTCCTGGGCCAGCATGGCTTCAACTTCTTCCCTGGCAATGCGGACTTTTCCACCTGGGGTACAAGTGTCTCTCAGGGTCAGTCCACGCAGACCTCAGTCTACAGTAACAGCTATGGGTACGCCCCCAGCTCGCTGGGTCGGGCCATTACGGACGGACAGGCAGGCTTCGGAAGCGACACCCAGCTTAGTAAAGTCCCGGTGCTGAACAGCATTGAGCAGGGTATGACAGGGTTAAAACTGGGTACGGACATGGTGGCAGCTGTCACCAAAACCGTGGGCTCACCACTAGGAGGCACAGCAGGTATGAGCAGCATGGCGGCCAATAGCCTCCCTCCGTCTGTCAGCTCGTCCGTACCTAAACCTGCCTCCTGGGCAGCCATTGCCAAGAAGCCGGCCAAGCCACAGCCCAAGGTCAAACCCAAAGCCAACATGGGGATGGGGGGAGGTGCCACCATTCCCCCACCCCCCATAAAGCACAATATGAACATTGGTACTTGGGACGATAAGGGCTCTCTGAACAAGCCCCCGTTAGCTCAGACTATGATGCCCCCACAGCCTCTGGTGCAGCAGCCTCTCCTTGCTCAGCACCAGCCCTTACTGCAGAACCCAATGCCCCCCCAGCCCCAACACCAACACCAACACCAACACCAGCCCCAACACCAACACCAACATCACACAAGCCTTCCAAGCTCAGTCTCCTCCAGTCCCCCCAACACCCCCATTCTCTGCCCCCTGGCCCTCCTCACATGCACCTCTCCTCTCAACCTGGCCCCCCACAGGCCCTTCATCAGCAACAGCCCCAGCAGCCTGGTCCACCCCCCAACCGTTGGGTGGCTCCCAGGAACCGGGGCGAGGGCTTTGGTCTGGGTGGGGGAGTCCCACTGAGTGCCTCCCCTTGCTCTGGTGAAGTGCATCCCGTGCTGGAGAAACTCCGTGCCCTCAACAACTACAACCCCAAAGACTTTGACTGGAACTTGAAAAACGGACGTGTTTTCATTATCAAGAGCTATTCGGAAGATGACATCCACCGCTCAATCAAGTACTCTATCTGGTGTAGTACAGAACATGGCAACAAGCGCCTGGATGGTGCCTACCGCTCACTGGGCAACAAGGGGCCCCTGTACTTGTTGTTCAGCGTCAACGGCAGTGGGCACTTCTGTGGTGTGGCTGAGATGCGCTCACNNCAGGACAAGTGGAAGGGCAAGTTTGAGGTGAAGTGGGTTTTCATCAAAGACGTGCCCAACAACCAGCTGCGACACATCCGGCTGGAGAACAATGACAACAAGCCAGTGACCAACTCCAGGGACACTCAGGAAGTGCCTCTGGAGAAGGCTAAACAAGTGCTTAAAATTATTGCCACTTACAAGCATACCACCTCAATCTTTGATGACTTTGCACATTATGAGAAACGTCAGGAAGAAGAGGAGGCTCTGAGGAAGGTGAGATAAACACACATACAAGGAGCCCTGTCCTCTGTAAATAGCTTGTTTGTATGCATGAGGCAGTTCAGTTAAGTTGCCCTTTAATTCAAAGGGAGGCTAACTTTCACTGAGTCACTGCTACAGGCTGTATTCCAGACTGTAATCAGCTGATCTTGTTCCACCTGCTTTTAGACAGAGGTTGTAACATCCTGTGGCTGAATGAACAGTCTGGCGTAAATGGAAGTTCCCACAGGCCTGTCAGCTGATTGACATGCCTCCATTACTCATAAGCAGGT